ATAAATGAACTTTGCACGATATTCTAATTATTCGAGTTTCACCTGTATATATATATATATATATATATATATATATATATATATATATATATTCTATATAGATATCTCCAACTTTAGTAACTGAGTGAAGCGAGGCTCAGTTGGGGGCACTGACTAACAAAGTAATAGTAGTTACCATGTGTTGCTCAATTTTAAGAAGCACTTTTATTTTTAAGAGTTTAAAATGGCTAACTGGTTTGCTTATAGTGCCTGTTGATTTTAAACTTTGAATTACGTTTTGGATAGAGTAGGGAAGGAATGGATTGCTAGCTGGAGTGACTTGGCCTAAATATTGGTCCTTGAGTCCATGGGGTTTTTTATTTTAAAGTGATGGGGAATCCCAAAGTTTTTAAGCTCTCACTGCAACAGAAGGTTGGGGTGGGGGTAATCATCCAATGGATAAACCTGTTCTGGTGACAGCTGTCTGCAGGGAGAGATTTCCTCTAACATCCTGTTGGGTCTGTGGAACAAAGTAAAAGGAAACCTCATCAACATAATGGGATTGGCACTGCAAGGCCTGCTTTAATCTAGGAAGAGGTTATCTCTGAAATGACATTGTTGATCTGTTATATGACCAGTTTAGATGCAGAAGAATTGGGTATGTGTGTTTTTAGTTTTCAGACTCTTCGTTATTTCTAATATAAATGTCTTGGTGTGTGCAGAAAATCCATGCCCAGAGCAGGGTGACGTCATCCAGATCAAACTCAGCGAGTACACCGAGATCATCCAGAAAGGGGACGGCACTGGCAGCACCACCATGATGGTGGATACGGTTTTTGAAATGAACTATTCTACCGGCAAGTGGACCAAGCTAAAAAAATACAAGCCCCTAACGAACGTCTCTTAGAGAGACCGCGTGCTTGGAACTGTGGACCAAAATACTCAGACTTGTAGATGGGCTTCAGTATAAAACAATCTCCCTGGATGGACGCATTGTCTGCCATGACCGGAATCCAGAATGGCATTTATCAGCGGTGACCACACTTAATCTATTCCTGAAAACTCAACAGGGTCTGGACACAGAAATGAACGCTCCATTTTGTGTCCGCAAAACTGATTTTAAAACTAGCTCTACAATCAGGATGCAGAATGTCCAATATAATTGTCTCCACCACCTTTTCTCATGCACATCCTGTGGATCCACCCTCATTTTCTAAGTTTTGAGACATGGCAGTGTACAATTTTCAGCATTACTTCTTTTTTTTTTTAACTTGCAGTATTTGTTACCCTTTACACACTTTTTTTTTTTTTTTATTTTTTACTTTAGAAATCACAATGTCCATTTTTTAAATTCACTTTTGATGTCTAAACTAAACGGTTTGGGAGTGCTGGCTCTAATTCGTGTTTGAGATTTGTTCTGGCCTGCTCTACAAAGGTGAACTGACTTGGCTGATTTTGATGTCGGTAAAACACAGGAAGCGGCCTAATTTCTGCCAGGATTAATAGGCATCTTTCTTTACGGACATCATTTTTAAAGAGACAAATATGAGGAAATCGGCTTTTGTTTCCCTAATTATACAGTTTGACCTTTCTCCACTCTATCCAAACCTAGACATAAAACAGATTGTCTGGAGTTAAACAGTAATCCCTGTTGCTGGAATTAATGGGGATTACTCGGGGGACACTAAAAAACAAAACTAAACCTTAGGTGTTTGATATCCCACCATGTAGTAGCAGAGAGTTCTTCTATTGCAGGTCTGGTATTCATACAAGATGGGATAGATGTCTGCAATGACAGATTTACCGGTAATGTGCCACTTGCTGAGATCATGTTATGGCCAAGGATTAGAGAACCGATAAGGGAAGTACACAACTCCTGGTGCTCTGTTTATTCTGGTGCAGCCCAATCTATTTCATGCTCCCTTCTGGCCAGATGGAGGAGGTTCAGCATGTCCCGGACACATGATTACAAATGAGGCAGACAGCATGAGAGTCGCCTTCCTGCTTATGTAACTGGCGGCCGCGGTGGTGCAAAATGCATTTAGCTCTACAGCAATGGGACCGGCACAAAGCCAACTCTGTTGAAGTCAGACTCAATTGCAAACATTTGACTGAAACTTAGCAGTTCTGCTGGACAGAGGGGGCATGAAGTAGGTTAGGTGTTGCCATAGTACACGGTGTACTAGAGGCTACCTTACCGGTTCCTTTTTAAAAATTGAATTCCCTTTGTTAATGGTATACTTTGGTTGGTGGGTTGAATCCATACCTTAAAATACAACAGCGGTATTGGGGTCTTAATAATTTTACACTTTTTTTTCTTTCTTGTGGTTTTTGTGTTGTGATTATTGGACCTCATTTTTAAGGCTGTTGGCTTCAACCTACAACAATGCTAATACTATGCTTGTGTCCATTAACAAACAGGAGAAGTCTTTAACCTTCAGTTATACTGCTGCCTTACAGGAGGGTTGAATTCAGGCAAACAAACAAAAACCCTGCCCAGGATAAGCCCTCCTTCTACTAGCATGCCTGAGTTTTTAGTTTTTTTGCTAGTGTCCTAGGATGATGGACGTCTTCTGTTTAGCCCGGCTGTCTAAAAAGTAACTTTTGTGTGTGTGTGTGTGCTAGCAACCTGACAATGGAGGGAATTCTTTTTTGGTGAATGAGAGTCAGTCAGAGGTATGAAACACCAATGTCGTGGATTAGGGGGAAGGTATAAACTACCTTAGGCAAAAAAAGCAAGTGCTGGGCCTCCACACCCCCTTATCCCTATGCAGAACCCCTTCCATTTAGCAGTTTGCATCATTAAGGGTCTGGCGTGTGCCCTTTCTACTATAGCGCAGAGACAGTTGTCTTCTCGCCCTTTGATTAAGACCTTGTACAGGGGGTCTCCCGTGTAGCGCCCACTGTTTTGTTCCCCTGTGCCTCTGTGGGATTTGAATCTGTTTCTTTTTGTGCAGAGGAAACCACAGTTTGAAGGCATTAGAGATGTTCCTCTCTCTACCCTCACCCACAAGCTGTTTCTAGTAGCCATCAGCTTTTGGAAGCAAATATCTAAACTGGAACTTGTATCATGCAAGGAACTCTTCTTAGGGACAAGGGGCTGTTGAGGCCTGGGACTTCTTGCTTAAGGTAGTTAATACCTCATCCAATACATTGTTGCTCCATCCATCTGATTCTAGTTTACCAAAACCAAATTCCCTGCATTGTGTGGTTTGAGCCGTGAGAGCCAATCTTTCGGCCAGTGCTTTCAGGAAGACTGGTCACTTTTTGTAATCCCAGATAGACCCTGTAAGAGTGCATCAGCTTCTCATTCCTCCATCTTTCAGTGGCTCGGGCAGACCATCATCCAAGCTTATAGTCTCAAGAATCAGGCTCCACCCATTCTTGTTAGGGCACACTTCTCTAGATCGATGAGTGCTTTTTGGGCTTTTGGCATCAAGCAGATCTTTCCCAGATTTGCAAGGCTGCCACCTGGTCTTCAGTTCCCATGTTCTCTAAGTTTTACCAGATGGATGTTACAGCCTCATCTGATGCCAACCCTGGGAGTAAGGTCATTAATGCTGCTCTTTGAGCATTAGGCAGTCCCCATGTTCTATTTTTTTTTTTTTGGGGTGTCTGTTTGCTGGGTTGCCCACCGCTCAGTTGGCTACTTTTGGACATCTCAAAGGTTAAAAACGTCCTGTATCCCTCAGTAGACAAGAACGCAAATAACATTTTTGTACTTGTTAAATTATTTTCGAAGGGTTCATTGAGAGGCATAAGTCCCACCCCTTGGTGTTTAGGATAGTGCTTTCAGTACTGCTTTGCTACAAAACTGACAGAGGAATGCTGGTAGCCGGTGGGGTTGTCCTAGGCTAGCATATTTTTTGTGTGAACGTCCATCCCTCCTGTAGGCAGCAGTATAAGCCGAAGGTGAAAGACTTCCTGTGTCCCTCAAAGGTCTCCAAGAAAAGTGTTTTATGGAAAGATCAAAGGCTCTCATGGAAAAGTCAGCAACATCACTGAGATTCTTCAAGAGTATTAGACAGTTGCAGTCTGCCAATAGCATAACCACAGCAAATTTTGTTTGTGCCGCCACATAATGCTGCCCTTGCGTATTTTTGTTCTGTGGGGCTGAATAGTACAAATCTTTCAATTCCCCCCATACATGCTAAATAGCATGGTAGGAAGAATTTGCCTTGCCAGCTATTGTAGCTGGACAGTGCCTGTGGCGATCAAGATTGATTGACATCTACAAGCTTCCAAATCAACTTCTGTTGAGCCCTGTTGGTGCTGACCGGGCCACCCATGGATAGAATTTCTCCTGATTTAGGGGAACAAAAATGCCAAGATTCGATCTGTGCATGGCTGGCTTTACGTAGTTATATTGCTTGTTGATCCTACCAGCTGTGGTTTTATTTTTCCACTTCCATTCCAACAAAGCTGTCCAACAAAATGGCATTTGGAGGGTTGGAACAAACCATACAACAGGGCCAGGGGTGCTTACAATGTTCTGCTTTTATTTATATGGCTTAAAGGAGAACTATGGGGTTAAGGCTTTTCCCCATCGTTCTCCTAAGGGTCACGGAGGACACAAATTAGCGTCCTCCCATGACCCAAAGCTTGGTATACTGCGAGCTGTAGTGGTATACTGAGACCACTGCAGCCAGGACGGATCCCGGCATTACTGTCGAGATCCACCAAGCTGCATGAGTGACAGCTGGCTCTGCCCCGTCCGTTCTGCCAGTCAGCGCAGGAGGGGAGGAATCCCTGCAAGGAGCTGTGAGTGACAGGCACGGCTCTCTGCATGGACATGACCGAGAAGAGCGAGCGACGGTATGTGTTCGCTCACTTCCCGATCTATTGAGCCGACCTGTGACAGTCTCATTGTCACACGTCGCCTCGAACTATGAGGCTGAGTGAAAACCACTCACCTCATAGTGCTCCATTAAACCTTATGACAGGAAGTGGAAAAAATAACATCTACTGGCAGGCCCAAGAGGTAATAGAACTATGTTACGGGGGGAGCCAGAAAAAAACAACTATCTGCTGCAGTAATGTTAGTTGCATCTATGGCATCTGAGTGTTTGGTTCCACTTTAATTCTTCATCACAGTGTAGGCAGGAGTGGCTGTACTTGCATATGTTTATTGAGTAAGCGGCTCTTTATTTTTTTTCTTCCAGAAGGGGCAGTCTGCTCCCTATCAAGGAAATGCCTCTTTCTGGTAGTGGTAGACATTTTGTGAGCAGAAGAACCCTCAACCAGGAAGGAGGAAAAAAAACATTTCTATTAGATTCTGTGGAGGAGCAGCTAATGAAATTCATAACGGTATAAAAAACACCCTCCCCCGAGGCAAAATACTGAGGTGTGTCCCTTGGGTGTATTACAGGGTCAGCTCAATGGCATTGTTTTCCTATGTGGGGTTACCAGACAGGAAGTCAGCTGTTTAACACACATCCACCTTCAAGAGAAAAGAGAAGGGCGCCCACCCTAGTGTAGGGGGTTTTTAATGATTCTAAGTACAAATACAGAGTAAAAACATACTCACAAAAGTGGATCAATAAAAGCATATAGATGAGCCTATGCAACTGTAGAATGGCTGCACATATGCCTGTGTGTCAGCACGGGACTCCTGTGATGACGCGTTTCCGGCGCCACGCCCCCTTCGTCAATCAGACTGCAGTCTTTAGCATATTTATGTCTAGGTCCTCAGCCCCACACATACAGCCTTTGATATTTTACAGTTTCATCCTGTATACATAAAACTAGAGCCTCGATTCATGCTTCACCTGTCCTTCATTCCCCTTTCTCACACAGCAAATACATGCTGGCTGGCTCGATATTTCTGCCTGCTGATTGGACGGCGAGCACAGTGTGTGAGAGTCTCAGGGCTGGACTTCACTAAGAGGCCGCTGATTGGCTCATTGGCATTCCACCCCTTCTAGTGGAGTTAGCCACATTAATAGATGCACACAGCCATGACAATCAGACGCCGCCCACAGAGGCGTGTCCTTACATCATGGAGCTTTGCTCACAGGTCTGCATCAACTATACTCCCCTATATAAAGCTGTATGAGTGAGGCAGTGGATATGTTCTGACGAAGGGGGCGTGGCCCCGGAAACGCGTCATCACAGGAGTCCCGTGCTGACACACAGGCATATGTGCAGCCATTCTACAGTTGCATAGGCTCATCTATATGCTTTTATTGATCCACTTTTGTGAGTATGTTTTTACTCTGTATTTGTACTTAGAATCATTAAAAAAAAACCTACACTAGGGTGGGCG